CTCTCTTCTCTTCCATAGCTGAGCGTGAGATTGTGCGTGATATTAAGGAGAAGCTGTGTTACGTCGCTCTGGACTTCGAGAATGAAATGGCGACTGCTGCCTCTTCCTCCTCTCTAGAGAAGTCCTATGAGTTGCCCGACGGCCAGGTCATCACCATTGGAAACGAGCGTTTCCGCTGCCCCGAGACTCTCTTCCAGCCCTCTTTCATTGGTATGTTTTGGCTGGGCCTCAAATGACCTCATTGCATTACTCCATGCTGCTGTCTTTAGATCACAATTGTTCCCTTGCTAACATAGCTTGTAATGTTGCTCCTCACAGGTATGGAGTCTGCTGGCATCCATGAGACCGCCTACAACAGCATTATGAAATGCGACATTGACATCCGCAAGGATCTGTATGCCAACAACGTCCTGTCTGGTGGTACCACCATGTACCCTGGTATTGCTGACCGTATGCAGAAGGAGATCACTGCTCTGGCTCCCAGCACAATGAAGATCAAGGTAAACATCCATGCGACTAAATGAGCTTGTTTATGTAATTTTACAGTCTAACTACAATTATGTTCTCATGCTCATCCTCTAGATCATTGCTCCCCCTGAACGTAAGTACTCCGTCTGGATTGGCGGTTCCATCCTGGCTTCCTTGTCCACCTTCCAGCAGATGTGGATCAGCAAGCAGGAGTATGATGAGGCAGGTCCCTCCATCGTCCACAGGAAGTGCTTCTAAACCTCAAATCCTCTTCAATGCAATCCAACTAACCCTCCGTATGCATTTGTATTGTGCCTTGTGCTGTATATACATGTACTGTTGTAATAAAAGTCGTGATGTGTAACAGGCTCGCATTGTGTTTTGTCTGAGTATTTGATGAAGAAAATGTAGCTATTTCTTGAGCTGACAAATACAGCCTTTTCAAAAAAAATTTTAATCAACAAAAGCTCTTAATTTATGTTCATTCATTCTAAATTCTATGAGCTGTTTAGTAGATTTTTTAAAACATTTGTTTCAAAGGATTTCTAAAACTTTACACACATACTGCAGATGTGGACCTAAACTAAAAGGCAGAGTATGAGTTAAAAAGATTCTGAGTTGCATGTGAATGCAGTGGTGATGTTCCATCAATATTATAATAATGCCTGTTCCTGAGAAAATACTTCCAGGGAAATTATTGAATTACTTTTAAGCAATTATTGTTGTTTTGGTTATATTAAAGAGGAGATTACATGCGGAAAAAAGAACCCAATGTACTTACATTGTAGGCTATATTGCATTGTAAACGTTAAGCTATTAATATTAGAATTCGATTAAACTGCTGACAGGTCCATAACATTATCTGAACATGACACGACACGACACGCCTCATAACATGTGATTTATTTATTAATTAGGCTAATAACACATTTCCTTTTACATTTCCCTTTTTCCTTGATAGCCTATAGTCTATTCCTTATTTTCTTAAACTTTGCCCTTCTACCGTCCCCAATAAAACCCAGCAGCATGGTTTAGTCACTACGTAAACCAAGAGGCGAGCTGATTCGCTGCTTGGCAACAGAACAGAGCAAATGAAGCGAGGAAGAGGAGGACGGCATCTGTGCTGAACCCGACAAACCTTTCTCAATCCAGATTACATGGTAGGTTATCTCTTTAAATTTGGTTAGCTGTTTATTCTCTATGGGTTTTAGTTTTGCTGTAATACGAATGTGCTTCTTAATTTGCGTTTATAAAATAATGGCCCGTTTTTATCAAGCCTGTTCACTTGTGACGTAGTTACAAGCAGAGATGCGCGTTTTCTCTGAGCTCAATAATATTTAAGCATCAGGATTATAGCCCAATATTTACATGACCTTTTCGGCGAATATAAAATCTTAATATATATATATATATATAAAACGTAGGCTATACCTTTATTTAAAACCGCCGTTTTAGCATAAAGCGCAGCAATAATTTTACACTAACGTTAGGTGTTGTGTTTATTGTCGGTGTAGTGAACGTCAACGATGGGTTCGGCTCCGAAAATGGCTCACACGGTTCTTCTGAGTGTTATTATAAGCTGGATGGCCGTCGTTTCTGGCCGCAGTCCACGCACGGTGGATCAGGTGTCGGAGGCGGATATCCAGCGCCTGCTGCACGGTGTGATGGAGCAGCTGGGAATCGCGCGGCCCAGGGTCGAGTATCCCGCGCACCAGGCCACCAACATAGTCGGCCCGCTCAGCATCCAAGCTAAGAGTTTCTCTGTATCATTGTAGGTAATTACACGTTTTTAAAAATGTAAATGATCACTGATGGTCCTTATAATAGCCTACTCCTCATTATGTGCTTGCCTTCATATGTACTTTTACACTTTGTCCAATAGGTGGTGCCCATGAGGGACTCCAGCATCTCGGGCCGTACGGGAACATCCCTAACATTGTTGCAGAGTTAACTGGAGACGGTGTTCCCAAAGACTTCAGCGAGGACCATGGCTACCCTGACCCTCCCAATCCTTGCCCTCTTGGAAAGAGTGGTATGTTGGTCCAAATGTTACTGAATGCACAAATATACAGCAGTGCCACCATTCAATAAAATTCAAATGGCCTAAACATTTTTTGTTTAAAAAATGTGATGTTTTTATAGCTGCTGATGGATGTTTAGAGAACTCTCCAGACACTGCAGAGTTCAGTCGAGAATTCCAGAAACACCAGCACCTCTTTGACCCTGAGCATGACTACCCTGCACTCGCGAAGTGGGTGAGTTCACACTTGACACCTTGAAAAAAGATGGAGGAGATTACTGATTTTTCATTTTTTAAAAATGACTAATTTAAGGGCTTTAAATTAAATTAACCAGGATTCTGGGCTGTAGCAGACTGCACTAAATATCTATTTTCATTCTTTCAGAATAAAGGTCTGTTGTATGAAAAACTGAAGGGTGGGCCGAAGAGAAGAAAAAGGGTAAGCTATAAATATATTTCTTTCTGTGCCTTTTGGTTGCTTCTTTGTCAGTAGAGGCTCAAACGCATACATTATTAGATGGAGCACTGTTGCATATTTTCAGAAAAAATGTCACAGGATCTGTCACTGACTGTGTTTCAGAGTGCAAATCCATATCTGATGGGACAGAGGCTGGATAATGTGGTGGCCAAGAAATCAGTGCCACATTTCCCAGAGGAAGATGAGGTTGAAACTGCTACAAGCAATATCAAGACCTGAACATCGTGTTATTTATCAAATCTGTACAATGAAAATCTGATCAGTTTCACAGTAAAGTCAGCATTAAATTGTGTGCGATATTCAAATGAATCATTTTATTAATAGAGCAGTAAAGGGTGAATGTAACATGAATGATTATTCTCTTGGCACAACTTTTGTTGTAATACCATTTAATCAAATAAAAATGAAGTATATGTTCATGTGCAGATAATTGAAGACATGTGTTTTTAACTTCATGATTCATCTAAATCACAATATGCATTCATCATGAGCTTCCTTACTCTCCTGAAGCACTGGACCATCCCCAAAATGCTTTGAATGATCTTAGACTGAGAGGAGGCGTGGACTGCCCCATTCTCTTAAATGTCAGCGCTCAGAACAGAGCTCCAGACCTTATTTTGAATCTGACTCTGAGTTCTGTATCACTTGTTTCAACCTATTATTAATCGTAGTTTGTTATTGTACACAAAGACCTTTGTGAACATAGCTGCAGTCCATGTGAAGAAGTTTGAACCGTTAATAATCTGAGGTAAGTCTGCTGCATATCTACTGGAGTATAGCCTATTTGTATTTATTTTTTAAATGACATCTGTGATTTTTTAAAAATGTGTTTATAGAAATGAGGGATTGCAGAGGGCAACTGGCTCAAAATTTTGTAGGGAGTTTATATAAAAATGTAAATGTGTTTAAATGATTGTGAACTTTATACACTATACGCTTTGAAATATTTAAAGTTTCGTTGTTGTGTTCATTTTATATGTATATGAAATGTTTTGATAAAATATATAAAATAATATATATATATTTTTTGTTGTTGTAAAAATAACTACATAGATTACTGTATATTTAAAGACATTTAATGATATGTTTCTTTCTTCATGTGAAAGGATGACTAAAGACGCATTAGCTGTCACTATCGCGGTCTTGTGGCTGCTCTGCAATCCGGCGAGGATCAGGGGAACCGGGGGATTTCAAGGCGCCATTCCTCACCCAAATAAATACAGCCCAAACCAGTCGGAACAGTCACCGCAGACACCGCAGGCCAGTTCCAGGGGAACGGGACCGCCTTCAGTCGGGGACGAGGTGCTGGACTCCAGCCAGGAGGCTTTACACGTAACGGAGCGCCGTTACCTCAAACTTGACTGGTGTAAAACACAGCCGCTGAAACTGATGATCTATGAGGACGGGTGCCAGCCGCGCGCCATCATCAACCGCTTTTGTTACGGACAGTGCAACTCATTCTACATCCCTCGGCACGTTTATCAAGAGGACAGTGCGTTTCAGTCGTGCTCCGTGTGTAAGCCAAAGAGTTTCACTACCGTTACTTACACGCTCTTCTGTCCCGGACAGACTCCCAGCACCAAGAAGAAGCGCGTGCGCCGCGTCAAACAGTGCCGCTGTACTTCTGTCGACTTGGATTAAATTTGCTGACGTCTTTGTTTGTAGGCTACTTTGGTCTAAAAGTCACTAATTCATATGGCTGAATAATGTGGGAGCATGATCGATTTGTTTCCTCCATCATTAGTTGTTCAGTCATCAAAATGAGGCCTTTATATTGTGAAGAAATACAATTGATGCAATTAAATGAATTATAAAACAAGTTGGCTAAGTTATAATACTATAAAATAGTGACATATTAAAAATATGCTTATATTATTATTACATTCTCCACTGTGTGGAGCACGATTTGCGCATTGATGCAAATAGCTTATTTTGTGGCTTGATTTGTAATGTGGGATACATTTC